GAAACTCGAGCTTATTCGATTCCAATAATATCTTGAAGATTTCTTCTGTATTGTTTATAATGATGTAATTAGTGACCAATAATAAATTGCATATTTATAGAATATATGTGTGAATGAATACTGAATTTTTTTACCCGTTACAACAAGTAAGAATATACACAAACTCTTCATATATAAATGGGAGAATATAATACACACGAAGAAGGAAGTGAAATAAAACTTGACAGTAAATATGGACTTCATATATTATTTGTGTGGTAAGTTATCGAAGTTAACTTTAATTTACAAGTCTTTGACATTTCTGTAAAAGTTTGGAATATGTCATGTGTTTCGGGAACCCCCGGCTCTAAGCAGAGTTTGTTTGCAAAATCTATTTTAATAACCTTAAGCCAGTTCAATGCAAAAGTACACCACGACCACGCCCAACCGATGGCATGAAGGTGCACCCATGTTGTGTATGTTACTTTGGTCCAAAAGTATTTGGATAGAATAAGTCTGAGAATTAAAGCGAAATTAGACAAGGGTATGGAAAGGGACTGTTTCTTGATGCTTTAAAAAATATTGATTTTTTTCTGTAAACTCAATTCATTAATATTTATTTCATAGATCTGGTTACACCACACTAGTTTAAAGGAATCAGAATGTCTAAAGGAGAAACGATCAGAAACCACACTGTTTCTAAAACCTTATCTGTCCCACTTAGATTTATAGGTAATAGATATTTTTCGATATTAGTTTTTAGGTTAACATTTATTGAAGTACTTAGATCACACACGCATAGAGATAATGTAATTTAAAACAAACACAAGTAATAGTAAACATATTTAACAGCCAAAGACATGCTCATAGTTCTAAAAGCTTAATCAAATCAAAATGACTAGTCTAATGGCTAAAGATATACTAATAGACAGTAAACCTTATCACAATACATAAAGTCTTTCAAATCCATATGCATATTGATAGTTGAAATTATAGATTATATATCTCTTATGATCGAACATATCTCTTCTATTTGAGTTCGACTATCATCAAATATTACCTTGGACTTTGGTAACGACTATACTGTAGGAATATAATGTGTATTCAATTGGCGATATATATCATGGTATTGAATGAATAATCTTGCATATTAAAATCAGGTCGTAATATGCAGTGTGTAAAGAACACTTCCTTTATTTCAATTTCATACAGAATAACTATAACACTATAACTATAATGTCTTTCTCAATTCAATAGTTTAATTTAGAACTGTACAAAAGCACAAAAAACTTCCCGATCTTATTGTTAAAGAGACAGATTCGCCATCCGTTTGACCATTCGTACCTTTGTCTCAGAAACGGTACTTTTTTAAAGGGATACTACGTCTTAGAATACACTAGTCTTGTGGCTACTATTTGTGTTTAATACTGTTTAATAGTGACCATTGGTTAAATAAGTATGCATCCCATACTTTATCAAATTTGAAAAAGCGACAATAAAACTATAATCAGAATTTTATGAATCTGTTCGGTTTCACAAAAAAGAGTCTGGGTAATCAACGCTAAAACAAGAAACAATCATCTTCCGGTGTATACAAACAAACTTCGCCTATGATTAATATTCGTTGAAAATTGTGTCAGTGGTGGAGTATTCATTCTAAATTATATTAATTGCTTTTTCGCGGAGTCGCCTTAACTCCTACGAGGCATTATAATTCCGTCTTCAAAATATGTCTGACAATCTCGAGGTCAATTCAAGAGTAGAGGTCAAGGATGCGGTAAACCCCACTTGACAGTTACTTCTCCTTGTGATTTCCTAGACTCACGATTTGAAAATCGCTTAATGGATGTAGTAAGCGTTTTATAATAATTACTTGATTTTGTGGATATATCGGATTATAGGGGGATTTTGATGTATAGTTAGGACACCAGGTAAGTATACTGTTATTGACCAATTTGAGCAAATATAAATGTTATGTTCATTCTAAGACGTAGTATTCCTTTAAGGTTAGCTTATCAGTAAAGCTCACCGTCGAAAAATGAGCCTTCAAATCCAAGAGTTCCAGAATTTTCCGCTTTTGAAATGTGAAAAGACGACTTGTCTAAATAGATAGAAAAGACATATATAGAAACAGAAAGTGAAATTCCTAGTTTCTGGTATTTTTGACGGATTTATGCAATTTTCCAGTACTGAAGACTTTTTACATAATATTCGTGCCCCAAATCAACCCCCAATAATATCGAACCTATCCCTTTAAGTCAATTAAACCATTTAGACATTTAGTAAGTCTACAGACAGCTGCATTGAGATAAGTAAAACATAACACAAAAATACGAACCAAACTGTTTATGTGAAGTAAGTCTATAAAACAACATCCAGAAACTCACCCAGAAAAGTTTTTCTTTTTTTGCTTTATATATTTGTAAAAAATATTACGAAAACTACTTATCTCTTGTAAATAAGTAACCTAATTCTATAGTTTCAAATTTGGTCATCATTTATCTATACAGTTGGACATTATTTGCATCTGTTTCAATTGCCTTGATAAATGCAGAAATCACATGAAAACCTGTTTGTTTTAGTTTGTTCAGGGTCAGAAAAAAGTAATAAAAGGGCCATTTTGGAGGAAATATTCAAATTTCACACGTCTTTAGCACTAACAATTATTCAAATTTTTGATTATTGTTTCATGTTGTTTTTTGATGGAATGTATTTTTTTAAACAGGGGCTCAAGAGTTAATGAGCACAGCTCCCAATGCATACAGTGGTTTCTTAGCAAAACGTGGCAGAAGAGAACGTTTAGTAGAGCGGTTTAATCTGCCTAACAAAGCTATTTTTAATGATATCAAAAAATGTAAGTATATTTACATAAATTATATTGGAATTGGTTTTACTATGAAACGAATTCTCTAGAAATGAGCACACATGCCCCATTTAGACAGAACCATCAAAGGAGTATCAAGTGGGCGGAATTAATGAAGGAAGAAATAGTCAATACTGGAAATCGTAACGATTTTCTCCGAAATAACAATTTTGTCTCTCAGGATAAAAATGTTGGTTGTTTCAGGGAGAAAGCGGTTTATAATTATATCACAAGGTTGTGTTTATATATATGATAAAGAAATTTCCAGTAGACCACATCAATCCTTTCCGTTATATGGATACAACAGGTAGATATATTGATAACCTCTTTAACTATGGGTCAATATGGCATCTTTAAAACAAACAGCTGAATATTGTTCAAGTATTCGTAAAGACCAACACAAAGTTTAAATATAGTTATGTCAATTATACAATTTTCAACTATCAAGGGGGGTAACCTAAATTATTTTTACCAATATACCAATATTTCGAAAATATGTCAATATGATAATATATCACAATAATAACTGTTTCTTTCTAAACATGACTTCATGTCCTCATCATTCCTTACAAAGATAATACTTTCTAGATAATAATGAGATCATTTATATATTATGGTGTTAAGAACATTGTTTACATATTGTTTACACAGACCATTCCTGGTAATTAAATGCGTTCAACTTTGAAAATGGTGCGAACTCCAATGTAAGATTTTTTTTAAATTGTGCATACAGCCCCTTCTTACTCAGCAGTGAACATCTTATGTATAGAGTTCATGCATAAATGTGAATGGTAATTCGTCATTTAGCCCAACTGGATTTTGGTTTTTTATCAAGACTTTTTTTTTATTTCAGAATTTCAAAGATGGGGTCCGACCATGATGCGTTCACCTTCAGGTTAGAAGGTAAAAATGGGGGCGGTTTTAAAATATATTATTTTTCTACAGCAACAGATGAAGAAAGAAAGGTAGATTTACATAATTATTAAGATTTTTGAGATTACCATTTGGTCATATCAGCACAAAAACAGTTAAGATTAGAAGTGTCAGAGTAACAGTAGTATAAGAGCTCATAGATTGTTCGTATTTTTGCACATTCCATTTCATTTCATGGGAAAAATCCGAACAATCTTTGAACTCCCGAAAAAACAAGACCTAAATTCCCTACATTTCATAAATTCCCTACATTTCATAAATTCTTACAGCAAAAGAACTAAATTCCCTACATTTCATACACCAAAAAACACCTTCAATCAATTTCCTACATTCCATCAAAAAAGCATATTAAAATAACTCTTTTTTGGAAAATTTCTACTCAAATTTTAAACCTTAAAAATGGCAAATAAAATACTAGATCCAATCTTTAGATTATACGATCCAATTCGTTATTCATTTAACAAGAAAAAAGAGGATTATATTATCATCTCACCCACTGTTGGTTCTAAATCCCAATTGAATGATGGTGGTAGAATTACCTTCGAAATAAATTCATTATCGATTTGGTTGCTTCTTTCCGATGCTTATTTCAGATGTGATTTCAAAATCAAAGACGCCACTCAGAATCAAGTACCACAAGCAAATACAACGTTAGAAAACAATTTCTTTCCATCTTTATTTAGCGAGATGGTTTTGGAAGCTGTTTCAAATCCGATAGAAACAATCAAACATCCTGGGGAATTCGACACAATGTTGAAAACAGTTTTATATCCTAAAGATTTCGATTCAGTCTCAGGTTGGATACCCGATGTTGGCGATGGAAGTGTTTTAAAAGAACCGGTAAGAAATCTTACAAATGATGCCGATTTAGCTAGAGTGAGAGTTGTTGCTCGAAACACGATAGAAAGAGTAGGACGAGCAGTTAATCATGGATTCGAAAAACGAGTACTTCAGTATAATAATGTTGTTGAGAATAATAGGTGGGGTAATTACGTAAATTGGAAATTATATCCTTTATTCGGTCTGTTGGAACATAGAAAAGTTTCCATAGGCTTACCATATAAAATTCATCTACAAAGAGAAATCAACGACGATAAGATATTCTTTGGAGAGAATGGTTCAGATGCAAAATTAGAAATAACGAATCTCCAACTTTTCATACCCGTAATAACACCATCAATTGAAGTAGAAACGAAAATATTCAACATGTTGACTAAAGATATTGAAATAGCTTTTCTTCATCGTAATACGGTAGGTAGCATGACTTTAACTGGAGAATCCACCACATGGCCAATCACTAACACTATTAAACCAGCAAGATATTTAATAGTTGGTTTCAAGAACTTAGCAGATTCTCAAACGAATAACAATAATGTCTTTAGAGTGGCAATGAACCAAACTCAAGATCCTTTAATCCATAAAGTTCAAGTAAGATTAAACAACGATAATTATCCTAACCAA